TGACAATAGTTATAAATAAAAAGTAATACTTAATCATAAGTTTGACGTCATGGGATTCATTTGTAACAATATCTAAATGTTTTCACACGTCCAATCGTGTTTACAAATAACAATGCGAACGTAAAACGAAATAGCAATAATTTTAAATGTACAGAATAATTTGTTAAAGAAAAGTGTACAGATTTTATTGTATAATAAACAGCACTTTAAAACAATTACTCGCACTTAAAATTTGTCAAATTACACACTTACTTTTTTCGATAAAACACTCGATTAACGCAAATTTTGAAGCTATTTTGAAACCACTTATTATCTGGCACGGTTGGCGATATCCAATTTTATGTCAAATCAAAATCAATCATGATATTTTATTGGCGTAAAAAACATACGAACATTTGAAAAAAAAATACAAGAATCAAATAAACTTCCGAATGTCATCTTACTTCCTGACATCTGTCAAGGTTTGACGTCTCATTCATCATAATTAGTTCATCTGTTTACGAGATTTTGTGACTCAAACGCACATAAACTGTTTTATTCGCGATATTGCAAGAAACAGTATTATTATTTTTATCCCTTCAATAAAATATGATATCTTTGGCGAAATATTAACCGTCTAACGTCATACAGTAAATTCTGTGAAGAAATCAAATTTAAAGTCTCCTAGAAATAATAATTTGTTTATAAAACATTGGCACTCGAAATGATTTATAGTAATTTATTTTAAGACGCAGTTGCTGCGAGAAAGTTGGTGCTATCGAAAAAAATTATAATCAAAAATCGCCGTGGAAAATTACAGGTGAATTGAGTCGTAGTTTTTTTCCACCAGCACCCTCTGGTTCGCAATTTTTTCATATCCTCCTCACAATCAAATGCACGACCGACGCGCATGCACGTTCGTGTTAAGAAAATCTTAAAGGATGCTGTTAACAAGACACCATTGTCCACTTCCCGATTCATTGCTCTAATAGTTCAGTGCCTAAATCCAATTATCCTTTTCAAAACGCCAGTGAACATGCTCCATCAGCTTCTCAAATGTCATTATGTAATCCAGCAATAAATAGCTTGACGTTCGAAAGCGCTTAAAAAAACCGTCACCTGTCTATTTGAAGTTTGCGAGTGACCTTCATTCATCGCAAACGCTTAACCGAGCTTTTTATTTTCGCTGTTTTTTTTTGATAATTCCGCTGTTGACTTTATAGTTTATGCTTCCTGACGTGTCATTTTCTTGACGATAGAAATTATTAACGACCAGTTCTAATTGTCGGGTGAACTGACTGATCAAAATGCTTTTGTTTGTAAAAGAAAATACAAGCATTGTGCTTATTTCACCAAATCGTAATGACTAGTTCATGATTTTGTTTTGCAATCGCATTCTTGGAAACACACATGGGTTAAATATAGCCTGCTGTACACTTAACGATTGTTGCTTGCAAGCAACGGGTAAAATAACTTAAACAGGTTTAGATTGTATCTTAGTGTGGGGTTTCCCCGACCTTGCACACTTATTTTTGATATATCGACCTTTGAGCACTAACAAACATCATAGTGTTTACAAAACTGCGGCAATAGCGTTTATTTACATCGAAACACATGTTTTTATAAAACACATAGTAAACTAAATGGTTTTAAAAGTAAATAGTAAAGAGGTCGCTGATGCAAGGTAATCGGAATAAAATTTTACAACTCGTTTCATAGAAAACAAGACGATAAGGAAAAACAAATATGAGTAGATGAAGCTGTCACAAATAGAAGGCATAATGATGAAAAATATATTTGATTGCTATCATAAAATATTGGCGGTCATACTAAAGAAAATAAATGTGAACATTTCACTTGACACAGATTTCACACGTTTGTGTACATCCCCGGATGCAAAGGTCCGAAGTCTGGAGGATGACATTGAGAGATATTAAATATTCATAAGACTTCAAGGTTTCTATATGATAGCTTTACAGCAAATTTCCGGTCTGTATGTTCGTTAAATTGTTACTTCAGATGCGACCGTTAGACGGTTTAACCCAACGTTTTTTTCTCAAAACATTATTACAACTGGTTTCCTCTCCATACTTTCTTTTATCATCAAGCACATTCATTGCGTCAATAACTCGCTTATTTGTTTAAAATCATCAATTTCAAGATATTAATTTTCAAACACAATCTTACGGCTTGAAAAATGGTCATGAGTAATTTCTTTCTTCACCGGACCATTAAATTAAATTGGGCTTCACATCTTAAAGTGTAAGCATCAAATAATAAAACATTACATTGAGTAAGTACGTGTGATACGTAATAATTGGCCTCGACACAATAAAGTGTTGCCTTTTGTGTTCAAAATAGCAAAACGGTTTCACCTCAGCTATGGCCACAAGCCATCGAGAACACCTTCGCGTCCCACATAACATCCATCAGATTACAATCTCTATGGAAATGTTTATGACTTGTTGAACCACCTTAATTTACTTTGTATCTGTGTGGTTTTCACCTTATCCTCTCCTCCATGCACTGGTTTGATTTTAAAGTTCAAAATCATTTCTACTTTTATTTGAATCATTAATCAACCAATCCAAGCAACGGCTCTAAACATAGACCAGTCAACATCGGTTGATAAATTGCCCTTGATTTCAAAACCAATACTTTCGTTTAGGTATTCTAGAAGAAGTGTTTATACTTCACATTAAACCAGGTATCCCTTAATCCTTGGTTATACAATCAGACCTTAATTGATGTATGCATTTGCAATCTTGTATCCGCCTCGAAGAGAAAAATTGCATGAATAATTGAGTCTTTTAAATTGATTTGATTTTCAAATGTCAATTTTCTTGCATTCGAAGGCCGCTGAAGAGACAATGTCATGCTGTATATAATCTGCAAGGGCAGTGTTTAACATTTATGTAGATAGAGGAACAATCTGGACGATCGATAAATAAAGATGGAATCATACAAGGTTACTGGGATAGGGTTGGTAGATAAAAAGACTAAAGAAAAACTCTATATTCCAGGAAAACATACATTCATTGCAAAAAATGAATTGTAGATTCCAGTTTTTTATAGCAACGCGAAATTACCATAGTATATTTCCATATTTCGTTTTATGAATGGAAAACTTTAGCCTGCTATCAAAAAAGTGGCTACCTCTACATCTGGAAATTCCAACGCTAGGTATTCTATTCTGTACGGTGATGCAAGATTCATTCCAAGATCGAAGACTTTTTGCTTCTTTAAATGTGATATGTTTCAAAACTTGTATTTTATTGTAAACACAAATGAATACGTTATAGAGCAAGTCGCAGGTGAATCAGAGCGCGACTGGTTTGATAGTGTAGATACTAACGATGCTAAATCGAATAATAATGAATGTGATACCGAATACGATTTTATATCGATTAATTTTACCGCTAACACTATGATATCAGCCATTTTGTTTGTCATCGCTATGTTAGAAATAGTAAACAAAATTGTAATTGTTCAGAGAATGAAAAATATGGACGACCCGCTAAAGAATGGGTGTTTCCAACTTTATATCGATCTTGATGAAAAATTCTCATGATACATCAATATCAATAACTGGTTTAATATATAAAATAATTCGGGTTCTCTTTAATATTACTCACACGTGGATTCCAAAATAGTTCTACTTCCCGAATGTTTTCATGCGACTAACTGTTTATTAGATCTTAGTCAAACTTTCCATGTTTTTGTTTGTTATTATTAATGCAACCTTCCCTTGAAGATCGTTGAAATATGGAGTGATATAGAGCTGATATTCCACCTTCAAAATTTTCTTCATCGTCTATTTTTATATCATTTAGTTTACAAAGAAGGTCTTCGGTTTTTATTTCTTTTACACGTTTCATAGGTAGCCCTATGGCGAAACAATATTTTTCTCCTTCAATATTCAACTCTTTTCAATTTTATTTCTCTATCAATATTAAAACTGTTTGTTTATTCTCTTCAACGAAATAAATTGGGCAAATAAACTATAGCCAAACATGAATTTACATAGTAAATCATGTAAATACTAATATATTAATGTTCTCAGACATTCAGTCTCTGATCATTATTTCATTAGAAACTTTTTCCTGCAGATGTTATTACGGATCTACTAAGTAATTCAATTAATCAAGTTGTTTATAAATCTCTAAAAACCTGCGTGTGTCGTCTAGACATAACTATGAAATCAGTGATATAACATATTCCTAACTGTTTTTCCTTGTTAACAAATTGTTCACTAATGAAATACAGAATTCATACAAATTAATTATGTAAATGTTACACGAAGCAATATCCAAACGAAATGTACTCGAGGATAATTTAATCGTTAAATTGTTAATACAACAACGATATACTGCATATATTTTGAAATTTTAAATTGCTTACTTGAAGCTATTAATTGTGACACTCGAGTTATAGGACTAACAATAGTAATTAAAGGGGGTCTTATCAAATAATTCGTGAACATTGTAAGTCGGTCGTGTTGCGCATTCGTTGCGGTGGCCAGTTTACGAAAGTCCTCTTGCACTCTCAAAATGTTCAACATAATCTAACAACACATCTATTTCTTGCGACAGTTCAAATCACCAGGATTAATGGAGAATTACGTAAGGCCAGGGGCTCGGTGCTTGTTGCGTGTTAATCAATATCATTCCACAAAATCGCTTTGTTCGACCGCTTCCTTGTCGCCAACTACATGTTCATGAACATTCCATACTGAGTTCATGGGTTACTATTTTTGTTAACAATGTCGAATGACGTGCAGACCTAATGTTTACAAACACTGCCACCGACATAATCGGTTCCCAATGTTATCGTTTGATCGCGATCGTCAAATTAATTGCCGTGGTATCGAATCTGTAAAATGTACGAAACATGGCCTTTCTAACGAAACCTTGGTGTGCCAACACTGTTCAAACACTAGGGGCCGCGTAAACATGACCCCCACGTACATTATGTGGATGTTACACTACAGTAGCTAACGTATGTCTTTGTTATTGTTACAGGTTCGTCATCAATCTACTTGCGACGAATCTTTTGACGACCTCACTGCTGGCGCCCGCGCTGTTTGGCGAGCACTCTGCGCAGGAGGACATCCAGTCGTGGGTGGAGGCGGGAGACGCGGCGGCGGCCGCATGCAGCCTCTCCTCACTGCTGTCCATCATGCTGATAGCACTGGACCAGCACCACGCCGTCACCGACCCGCTGCGCTGCCACACCCGGCTGCTGCAGCGCCGGCCGGCCGCGCTATGCGCTGGGACCTGGCTCGCAGCCGCTTGCGCAACTGCTATCCGCGCAGCCATCGCCGTGGTGCGCCACTTGTGCCCGCTCGAGCCCGTTGTGCAGGGAGTCGAGCTGGCCTACTACATCGTGTACTTAATACTAGGAGTAATTACACCAATCGCCATCGTGTGCTTCATGTATGCGAGAATATACCGCGCGGCGCGCTCATCCGGCCTCCGTGCGCGAGCACATGGTGCCAGCGCGCTGCAACTACACGAACCTCCCACGATCCTACCCGATCTTGCTGAGGAGGGAGAGGGACTAACCCTCAAAATTGACGGGCCTGAGTGCTCCGTAACCGTAGAAAGCGAGAGGAAATTCGGGCCATTCCTATTACCACCCGAACGACCAGTGCGATGCCCATCCGTTGCCAGTCTACGCAATTCCCGTAAGGAAGGAAAGTCTAACGAGGATCTGAGGAAGGGGCTGCCAGCTGTCAGCTCAGCACCTTCACTAGCGGCTCCATTGTTAGCCGTGCAACAGCGCACGCCGCAGCCTAGTCATAGTGGGTCCAGAATCACATCAATCAGGTGTCGCATATCAAACGCGTCACTGTTTAGATATAGAGAAGAATCTCGGGCGGCCCGTGTTGGGCTGCTGACGGGTGCCCTGGTGATGTTGCACGTGCCGCACGCTGTGGCCGCCGTGGTGTCGGCAGTGATGCCAGGATTGGCGGACTGCGCGCGCACTCCTTCGCTGGCGCTGTTATTACTAGCGTCGGCGTTATCACCGTTCCTATTCGCGCTGCGCTCACGGCGCGTACAAAGAGAAGCGCGCAGATTACTTCTGCCAGAGAAAAGTGCTTGGGAGAGAGCGTCAGGGGTCGCGTCTGCGGCGGCGGTGGACGGGCAGCGCGCACGGGCTGCTCTCGAGCTGCTGCGCACACTGTCCCCGGGCAGCAGCGCGCCCGAGTCGGGCACCAGCAGCAGTGGGGAAGCGTGCCGTGGCTCGTTCAGCTCGGGCGGCAGCACGCAGCTGTCGTCCGCGTCGGACGAGTGACCGGCACTCCGCGCGCCCGCGCTGCTCCCGTCGCGGGTGCGCTTCGCTCCGCGTCCCACCGCTCTACTCATCTGTGATACTAGGCTAAGCCGCAACGCGCTCGGCGCGACCGTTAGACTGATTTAGTATTAAGTTAATTTATTGTGTCCACGTACCTTTCCGCTGAGCGGAGCCAATTTTTATTACCTGATATAATATAAGAAAATAAAATAAAATCATATTGAATTTAACATTGTCGTTTTGATTGTCTTGACCCCGATTGTGCTGGCGGTGGTAAACCGCAACAATGAGTTTATAATTTTACACACGAATGGAATAGTAATATGAAGCAGACGAGACAGTGACTCACTGAATTACACATTCTAAAAATATACTGTAGTAACCTAAATGAGGATAAAAACATTTCTCTGATACTAAAAATAAGTAGTCAAATATTGAAATGAAAACAATTAAATATTTACTGAAACAACATTCAACACAACGTAAAACGAGTAGAACAATATCACGACACATCACACACAAAGTAACATATCAACACTCGTAAGAGAACATCTGCTGCTGCTGGTGATTCTACCTCCTGTCTCCTTCTGGGTTCCTGGTAACTTCAAGCCGTCTGCAATATTAAGGATTTGTATATTATCATGTTGGAGTAAGTATAAAAATGCAAATAACAATATTGAAAAATTCTTGATAACGATAACAAAGTTTCCAATCATGACTGCCAAACTTGATTACTGGGTTCAAATCCCAACTTATTTCTACTAAGAACTAAATATGAATGGTAACCACAAAAGACTGATAGAGAAAATAAATAAATGCATAATTATAATGCTACATTGCATAGAAACATTACGACTGAAGCAATGAATAAATCATCGATCTCGCATACATATTATATGCATATCAATCACGCTCGTTATTGAACAAAGGGTAAGCTGTTATTATTTCCACTGAAAAATAAGGATAGAATAATTCAAAGAACCTTGAAAATACCTATTTAGATTTATAAAAGTAAATGATTGATTATAATTTATTTTACATTCACTGCCTCGTTGATCCGGTTCGATTACCGGAACGGGCAGTATGATTGGAAAATATTGGTTTTTTTAAAAAAAAAATAACATTATCTAGTACTCTATCTTACTGGGCATCTGGGTACTTTATGCTATAGTACTAGGTGTAATTAGACCCATAAAAATCACAGCTCGGATAGAAACAAACAAACAGACGGACTTAGTACTCAGTATTCATACTAAGTATGACTACTTTGCCTAAGAAACAGTAATCTTTATCCTTAGTTATAATAATATTATCATAAAATCGCACCTATTATCCCCGAAGGGGTAGGCAGAAGTGCACATTAGGGCACTTAGTGCCACTGTACATACCATGTAACACCCACTATTTATGTTACGAGTCCCATGTAATAGGGGGTGAGCCCATTGCCATATACCGGAAACAATTCCTGGTGCCTCGGAACCCGTTAGGTTGCCGGGGCTCCGGCTCAAAGTGCAGGAGTAGGAACGGGGTGGTTTTTAGTCAGTAAGAGTCTGACACTCCCCTTCTCCTCACCCAGGCGGGATAAGTCATTGGATGATTTTCCTACCTCAAAAAAAACTTCATTTTTTATGGGATAAGCCGGTAAACGTGAAGACGGACTACCTGATGGTAAGCAATCGGCGTCTACCAATGGACACCTGGAACGGGAAACCAGAGATTAGAGAGATTGGGGAATGGAGGGTTGTTAATTAGACCTCCGATAACCTCACTCATGTGACGAAATAAAACACAAGCGTTGCTTCACGTCAGTTTTCTGTGAGGCCGTGGTATCACTCCGGTCGAGCCGGCCCGTTCGTGACGAACGATGACTCTCCCACACAACTATGTTACCGAACTACATTTTGCAAAGAGCAGCTTACAATGCATTAAAAGATTTCGCTATCAGATAGATAAGGCACCCACTAGACTGATAACGTGATTTGATGATGATCTTACTGTATACGTGGCGTATCATTGCGTGTAACATTCATCGTCATCAGATCATCACGCTTGTTTACGATATAAGGGTTAAACAGAGGTGTATCGGGCAAAGACTTATAAATAGATTTGTTATTGTTATTTTCACTTGTGGGTGTGTCTATATTCTATTGTCATAGTGTATTATTAAGATTTGCCCTTTCGTTGACTTCGTCCGCGTAAAATATGATTCCTGTTTTATCCAGTAGGAATTTTTAATCGAGATAAAATGTATCCTGTCAACTAAGTCAGCCCATGCCCTGCCTGTATACCAAATTTTATTATGCGTAATCGACGGACAAATTTCTACGAAAATACTTATAAATAAAACAATGGTATCTGTTATATATTGTGTCTTAAACCTGGTTTTTACGCCGAGCCCGATTCACACCTTCAGCGACTAAACCAATCAGGGTGCTTACTCTTGAAACCAATCTCAATGTCAATGCAATTTCAATCGAATAAAATTTCAATAATTATCCAATGTCAAAACTATACAACCCCTACCGTAGCTGTTAAAGTAGCATTCAGAGTACGTAATATGAAGCAAAACTCAATACCATTTAGTTCATTCAATATCCACTCAATACGGATGCAATGGGCGCTAGTGTTGTAACTCAAGAGTACGAAATTTGACAATACCAATGTCGATCTATCGGAATTGGATTCAAGAGTAAGCACCCAGAAAAGCATGGAGACAATTAAACTAACAGAATAAATTATTTTTGGTTAGGTGATGAGTCTAGGGTATAACGCTGGATTTCTATGAGCCCCTGGTATCACCTTAGGCTAGTCGGCCTATTCTGAAACAGCCAAAACATGACTCTTCTATGTAATTCTTATTCTTCTTCTATTCTCTTCTTCATCTCAATTACTTGGCTGCCTCGTCAGCCGAGTGGTCGCAAGTGCGACTGCCGGGCAAGTTGTTTTAGGTTCGATTCCCGGGTCGGGCAAATTACTGGTTTTTTTTTAATCTCAGTTGTAGCACGGAGTCTGGAAATGGGCCCGGTATATAGCATAGGCTCTCTCCCTATTAGTACATGGGACTCATAACATTGTGAAAAGTGGGTGGGTTACATTGTACAGTGGCGTTATGTCCACCTCTGACGACCCGTTCGAGGATAAAAGGCATGATGTTATGTTATGTGTCATCTCAATTATTCTAAGCACCAAAACTGCATATGCTATTTGTTGCCCTGGTGCTAATTGAAGCATTTTTAACTGAATTCTTATATGTATAACTAAGTCATGAGACCATATCAGTTCAACCACTTATAGACTTCCATAATTACCTAGAACATCTAGTTTTATTAGTTAGGGCACGTGGTCATGACTTTAAGTATTTGGTTTTGCGGTTTTTCTGGTCCAGTGGCTTCAAGCGTGACTGCTAGACATGTGACTATCGGGTCATTTTTGATGCAGAAATACTTTTATGAAGAACTGTATGATGGCAGGGTAGAATACATTTCACCACCCTGACTTTTCCCGCAGGTATTTCAAAAGCCAACTAATGGCGAAATGAATAATTGATCTAATTCAGCGTCAAATAGTTTCTGAACCTCTATACCAACGAGGCATTCATTTTAATCCTCATACTTATAATAAAAACGATTACAGTTATACTAGAGTGCATTGTTATGGTGCACTTTTGTTTTTTATATCAGGCAAGCAACATGTGTCAGTAGTTCAGTCACACGTGTCTTGGTACCTATGTTTAATATCTCCTCATTTATATGGGCGCCTAGTACCTAAATGAGAGTCGCGGAGAACCTAACGGGTAACCGGGGCTCTGGCTCGACGTGCAGGAGAAGGAACGGGGTGGTTTTTAGTCAGTAAGAGTCTGACACTCCCTTCCGCCTCACCCAGGCGGGAGCAGTCATTCGATGATTTTCCCCCCTTAAAAAAAAAAAAAGTACCTAAATGAATGTGATGGTAAATAAGGTGTGGGAAAACCATGCTTCGGCACGACTGAAGCGGAGTGATGATACCAAAGCTTCATAGAATACCGACGTGACACAACGCTTGCGTTGTGTTTCGTCATGTGACTGAGGTTACCGGACGCCCAATCCCCCCCCCCCCCGCTGTTCCCCAAATGTCCCTAATCCCTGAATCTCCAACAATCCTCAAATTACTGATCCCTAAAAGGCCGGTAACGCACTTGTAACGCCTCTGGTGTTTCAGGTGTCTATGGGCGACGCCGATTGCTTTCCATCAGGCGATCCGTCTGTTTATTTACCGACTTATTCTATAAAAAAATCATTTCTTATTGATTATTCTGTATATAAATACCATCATATAGTACTGTGTTACGTAGTGAGTAGTAGTACAATCGTAGCGATTAGAGTAGAATAGGTACAATTTTTCATCAACTCTCCACTTTCTGCGGGTGCCATAATTGACGATTAAGGGTTCCTCCAATAATATATCAGATATGGTACAAGAATCTAACGTCGGGTTTAATTAAAAGAAATAATTTTAAAATGATTGATCATTAGGTTTTGCCCTTAGTGGTGACGAGTGAGATGAGAACGCACGTGGCTTGTGTAGGTACATAATAAGTTTTTATGTTTAATAACTCTTCTATTGTTTGAGCTCCTGGTACCTATTTATCTATGTGAAGAGAGTGCCGTAGTTATAATGTTTCAGTAAGCCATAGATTATTTATATCTGTGGGTAATTTTCGTCATGATGGTCTTTTCGAATAGATGACCTTAATTCCAGTATTGGGTTAAGCAAAAATATTAGGATTATCTAAAATTATTCTGAATTACGTCTACCTAGTTCGTAACAACAGAGTCAGTACTTATATAGCATTGGTCTAGTGGAAACATCTATCATTATGGACGGAAATTATTTTAGTACAGTCAAACTGTATCGCCCCGTGCCCTTTTTTGGCAGTAAAAAAAAAGAATAAGTACAATCATGTCATTAGATAACATCCATTATTCTTATAAGGTCAAGACACAATTTTGCTCGCGATATCA